CCATATTATTTCTCTTTTTCAATGGGGGTCGTTCCATCAATTCGAACTATCCTATATAATTTCTATTTTCTAGTTGGGTCGTGACATCATTCCGACCCTACCCATATAATTTTATTTCTTAGATTATGACCACCTTTAGCCATCAAATCTAATACTCCGGCATATAAACATGTTCCAGCCAGTTTTTCGGTGACTTTCTTGTTTAATATTGACTCGTCTATTGATTCCAACATGATCCATATACTTTATACTAGATTTTGAGCACTTGCAACAACCGTTACATTGTGAAGAAGTATATATGGAGCAACCACCTAATTTTGTTGCTCAGGGGGAGTTTAGTAGCCTTGTATGTTGATTACGTAAGTCACTCTATGGTTTGAAACAGTCTTTGCAAGCTTGGTTTGGGAAGTTCCAACACTGTAATTTTATCACTCTGTGTTTTATCGGCATTATGCATCAAATTCAGTATTTCATGAGAAGACCAAGCACATTGAGATTGATTGTCAATTTTGTGAAGTCGAGTGATCAACTTGCAGATATCTCACCAAGCCCCTCATCGGTCCTCGTGTTAATTACATTTGTAACAAGCTAGGTACATGAATTGTATGCACTAGCTTGAGGGGGAGTGTTAGAATATGAATAGGTTTATACAATCCTATTAGAATAGGAATAGGTTTATACAATTCTATTAGAATAGAAATAGTGATAGAAATAGAAATAGGAATACAAAATAGTATCCTACTTGGTAAATGATTGTATTCTAGGGTCTATAAATAGGGTCTCAGTGTAATAATGTACACAACAATAATTCAAATAATATTCTTTTCCTATATTTCTCACAGTTAGTACATTAGTATTCCACCTCCCATTATTGACTAATTGATTGACATCTTCAAACTGGTGAGATCTTCTGTTAGTCACTGGGAGATAATATTGTAGAGCTCCAAGCTTAGTCCAGTTGTCATACCAAATTTTAGCATTCTCACACTTTGGCTCCCACCAAATTTTTTGAGCAACATAATTTCTAGCTTCAATCATATACTTCCACGTCTGATAACCCCATTTCCATTCTACCACCTGAGGAGCATATCTTTTGCAATACTTATTCCACATGAAGATAGTCCACATTGACTTTTGAGTCCTAAATATCCACCATAGTTTAGCATGTAATGCTTTTGAAATATCAAACAGTGATCTAAAGCCTAGACCACCTTCTTCTTTAGGCCTGCAAATAACATCCCAAGCAACCCAATGTTTGTTTCTGCCCACCTTCTTGAAATTCCATAGAAATCTTACAAACATTCTATGTAACTCATGAATCACACATTTAGGAGGATTTATAGCATACAATAGATATATAGGGATGCTATTCAGAACATTATTTACTAATACAGATTTACCTCCAAAAGAATGGATCTCCCCTTTCCAGGTTTGCAATTTGTTATGTACCTTTTTAATGAGATCTGAATAGTGATTCTTTCTCTGTCTGGCATGTCCAATTGGACACCCTAAGTACATCAAAGGAATTTTTCCTCTGGGGAATCCTATACAACTTTCCACCTCCTGGATCACAGTTCTAGCAGTTTTATCATGCACATAAAATAAACTCTTCTCCTTATTGATCTTCTGCCTTGACTGTTGCTCATACTCCTCCAAAGTTTGCATCACTAACCTCAAAGACTTCTTATCTGCAGAAACAAATAAGATAGTATCATCCGCATATGACAAATGATTAATGTTATCACTCCATTTTGGCATCCCAAATCTCTTGAAGTCCTTATTCTCAAATAAAGAGTTTAGGGCTCTAGACAACACTTCTGTAGATAAAATAAACAGAGCATGATACAAAGGGTCTCCTTGTTTCACACCCCTAGTAGAATGAAAGAAACCATAGGATTGCCCATTTATAAGAATAGACTACCAATTATTAGCCAATAATCTCCAAATCATATCCACCACTCTATTATCAAATCCCATTTTTTCCAGCACCTTTATCAAATACTTCCAATCCACTCTATCATAAGCTTTGGCCATATCCAGCTTAATTACCACATTAGCAGGTTTGCCTCTTTTCTTCATATTTGTAATGATTTCTTGGGCCAATAAGATATTTTCTGTGATATTTCTGCCCTTCACAAACCCAGACTGATTTTTAGACACTAGAGTAGGGAGATATGCCTCAAGCCTATCATGAATCAATCTTGATATTACCTTATTAAGAAAACTACTTAAACTAATTGGCCTCATGTCAGAGAATGACTGAACAATTTTTTTTTTTTGGCAATAAGACCAAATTAGTATGTGTAATAGATTTAGGTAAAGTGCTGCCTGCAAAGAAAGCCATGATCATTTTTACAATATCCCAGCAGCTTTGGAAAATTATACTTGTTAACCCATCCGGGCCACTAGCACTTTCTCCATTTAATTCAAAAATTACCCTCTTCACTTCCTTTTCTAATAGTGCCTTTGTAATACCCCTATTCATCTCCTCAGTAACTAGTGTAGGCACATGATTAAGAAGAGACAAGTCTGCAGGGACATTTTCACTAGAAAATTGCTTCTAAAAAAAGAGACAGCCTCAACAGCCACCTGCTCATTCCCTTCTGCCATTGCCCATCTTCTTTGATGATTCTTGAAAGCGAAAGTCTCTTTGTCCTCCCTTTTACTAGACTATGGAAAAATCTAGTATTTCTGTCTCCTTTCGAGAACCACTGAATCCCTGCCTTTTGTCTCCAAAACTCCTCTTCAAAGTATAAATATCTCTTCAATTAAGCCTGATCACTCTAAAGAACAATTCTATTGCTTACAGTAGGATTTTCTTCAAAAAATTCTTCTTTGAGCCTCACAATCTTCTCTCTAATGATCAGTTGTTTGAATATATCTCCAAATCTTTCTTTGCTCCAACAGGCAAGAGCATACTTAGTATTCTTCATTTTCTGCTTAATAGTAATAAAAATATCTGAATTCTCCTGAGCAACCCAACTTCTTTTCACCACATCCTTAAAGTCAGCCTCTTCCACCCAAAATTTCAAGAATTTGAATGGTTTTCTAATATGAGGTTGTTGTCCACCAAAAGAGAGTAATAATGGGGCATGATCTGATCCTGTTCTAGCTAGGTGCTCCATTTCCACATGTACAACCATGCCCATGCATTCATGATTTATCAGTATTCTGTCCAGCCTTTTAAAGATGCATTCACTATCAGCTCTGCCATTCCACCAGGTGAAAGGACTACCTTTAAAGTTTATGTCCAGCAAGTCACATGAATTAACACAAAAAGTAATGTCCTCAACTTCATTAGGTGTCACTGGAAGCCCCCTGTCTTTTCTTTATCAGACAAGATTACATTGAAATCACCCCCCAACTATCCATGGGAGATTCATGTTGTGAGAAAGAGAGTAGATATCATTCCAGAGAGTGAGCCTTTCTTGACTGTCACATTTGGCATAAACAATGGTAGTAATCAAAGATTCACTGGAATTTTGAAAATTCAATTGTAATGTTAGCTGTTGTTCTGTATCAGATAACACTCCAACCTGAATGTGATCCTGAATAAACACCCATATCTTTCCATTTATATTGTAATTTGCATACTGCATGCCCAACCTTCTCTTATACTTGTGAATATTCCTGGCTTCTTGAAATGGTTCCATTAATGCAATTATAGCAAAATTATGATATTTGTGCAACATTTGAATTCTATGGAATGAATGCTGAGTTTTGACAGATCTCACATTCCAAAATAATGCCTTCATTATCATTTAAATGTTGCTTTTCCTGACCTCTTAGGATTCACCCTAATAGGTTTGTTCTCCCCTTTAGTCCTTTTCTGCTTACAAACAGACCTAAGTGCATTAAAGAAAAGTGTCTTTTCTCCCCTTTTTTCTGGGCAACAAAAGTGAGAAACAATAGGAATTTTATTTTTATTTTTTATTTAAAATTATATTATTTAATATAATTGATGGTAATTATAAGAGAAAATGTCTAGATGCCTAGTGTGGAGGTGTGAGAAGTTCACTACGAATGGTTTTAGGAGAGGTAAAGATAGGTCGAAGGATTATTTGGGAGAGGTCATTAGACATGACATGACAAGACGTAGTTTCAGTTTACCAAGGATATGACCTTAGATAGAATGTTGTAGAGGATACAACTTAGGGTAGTGGGCTAGTAGATAGCAATGTGTTGTTGTCACGATCCAAACTACCTTGTAGATGTGACATGATGAATAGGATCCTGAGAGACCCTAGAAAAGCCACTTGACATAAGACTGTCACTAAGATATGAATATACTTAATGCTATGAATCATAAAGATGAATAAAAGTCTCAAAAGTACAAATCTGGACATGCAGAAATCATACAAAGTCTTACATAAGCCTCTACTAATCATAGATGTGACTAGGACAAATTCTACCTCACGAAATAAGCTGAAAACTGAAATGAACATAAAAGACCGATAATGGTCATTCCCTCAAACAACGAGGACTCACCAATCTGCTAGCCATGCTGAAATAATTTGATCTAACTATGACGGAAATGGAGAAACGTCAGACCCCATATTATGAAACAAAATATGCATAACAAATATATGTGTAAGTATTTTGAATATAGTAAATATGAGGAACATGCATAAGCATAAACACAATAAGTTTAAAACATGATAATGCCTGACCAAGTGAAAACATAACAATCAGATAAGCTAAATTTATAAATCGTGGAGTGGTCAATGCAATATGAGAATCACGACATATGTATAAAAACGTAAACGACGTGAGAAAATCATATCATTTGTGGGATGTTTACCATTTACCGACATAGACCATGTGAGCTATGACATTGAATTCACTGTCTTACTCCCACACCGAAAAAGATGTCCTATTTGACAAGGTGAGGACCTTATACTTAAACTTAGGTGGATCCACTAGCTAAATTGTCCAATTGGGATATCCTTGATAAAGTTGCTTATGAAGTTGAGTTGCCTAATGACTTAGTGTCAGTACATCTGATTTTTCATGTCTTTTTGTTGAAAAAGTGTGTTAGAGATCTGACGTTCATAGTGCCTTTAGAAGGTTTGGGAGTTAAAGAATATATTTCATATGAAAAGATTCTGGTTGAGATTTTAGATCGACAAGTTTGGAAATTAAGAAATAAGGAAGTTGCTTCCGTGAAAGTTCTTTGGAGGAATCAATTAGTTGAGGGTGCTATTTTGGAGGCCAAAGCTGATATGATGTCCCGATATCCTCATCCCTTTCCTTCCGCTCCTATTCTAGCTTGAGGTATTAGTTCCTCATGGTTCATTCTTTCGGATTCATGCGCTTTAGTCTTTCTCATGTTTCCATATGCATGCATGTTCATGAAAATGTTTTCTTGGAAAATAAGTTAATTTCTAACTTATTTTTTTTATGTTTGGTTGGTTAGTGGAAAAATAATTTTCAAAAAATACTTTCTAGTGTTTGATTGGTGAATGAAAAACACATTTTAGAAAATATCTTTTATTATTTGCTAGAGAGTAAAAAATACTTTTTAGAAAAATAGTTTATGACCTGAAAATCAACCTCAATAATAGATCAAGGACCTAGCCCCAACACTCAATTCGAAACCTAACCCCTACTTCCGATATCAGACTTGACATTTAATTGGAACCTGACCTTGACCATGACCTAAATTAGGACATGATCCCAAGATCCAAACTAGGACCTAACCCCGCTAGAGACTCGATATTTGAAGTAGAACATGATCCCGACATCTGAACCTGAACTTGAATCGAGACTCGACTCGACCCAAGACCTACCTACTCTTTACAACATTCGACTCAAGATCCAGCTTTTGAATTAGAATCCAACCCCGATACTCAACCCGAGACTCGACCCCCAACTCTGACCTAGGACTTGTGCAACACCCCAAAAATTTCTAAGTTAAGACCCAAACTATTCTTCATTTATATGTAAGGTCATATTGGGTTATTCTTAAATTGTCCATATTTGTAAAGGTCAATTATTTAGTGTGAGAATGCATTTGGATATTGTAACACCCCGGATTTAAAATAGAGGATAGCATGTTAGGACTTCAAGGTGCCACCCCGCAAGGACCAATTATGGGCCCATGAAGAGGCCCCAAGAAAACTGCCTGAGGTAGTGAATAATGGCTAGGACCCACGCCCAATGGATGGGTCCACAGCTCGTGGCTAGGGGTCCGTAGGTGGGGGAAAAGTCTCTGTCAATACCACGCCCAACCAGGATGGACCGTAGGTCCATCCACGGCCCGTCGGCGGGGTCTCGTGGTTTGCCTTTTTGGACAATTGAGAAGGTTAGCTTAGGGGCACTTTGGTCCTTTTCGAATTTAATTGAAATTAAGTTGTGTCGTTTTACCCTAGTCTACACCACCTATATAAGTACTTTAGACCCCTAAATTAAGTCATCCTCTCAAACTCACCAAAAGAATTGGGTTCCTCCCTCAAATAATTCTCTCTCTAGAAAGTTGAAGAAGAAGAAGGGGGTTCAAGCTGGTCAAGTCAAGTATCCATTCTTCCAAGCTTTGTGGGCTTTGTAATCAAGGTATTATGTCTTATTCATCCATGGAATTGTTTCATCCATGGAGCCTCCATGATTTCCCCAATTTAGAAGAAGAATTCCCCAATTCTAGTTAGGGTTTCTTCTAATGTTATGAGTTATGACCCAATGGAGTGGATTATAGTTGTTTATGATTGAATTGATAGAATTACATGTTTATATGATGAATTTACATGTACTCATGCCTAACCCTTGTTTCTAACCTAGAATTGATGAAATTGGGTTTTATGCCATGAAAGCGGAAATTGAGGATTTAGATGTAATCTTCTAGGATTGATGAAATACATTATAGATGGCTTGAGATTGTATTTGTTTTTTCTGATTGTATTTGTTTTATTTGTGTCCTTTGTTTCTTTTTTGCTTTTCATTTGGGTCACTTGGACCAGTGGACTTGTATCTAATTTTGTTTTCATTAAATTAGGCCCAATGGACAATTTAGTTAAAAAAAAAAGATTGAATTATATAGATATGAATTGCTTGAGAGTAAAGACATAAATATGAATTGAATTATACTAAAGTATACATGATGAATTATGATTAATAGTGCTTGAGATTGAGCCTATATGATGATATATGATTAGAATTACTTAAGAATGAAGCGTGTGATTAGAATGTATTGAGATCTAGGCATATGTGATGATTATGAGAAGTAATGCTTTGAGAGTAAGGCTTGTAGTTATGAATGTTGATTGCTAGGGCTTTGAGAGTAAAGCTAATATGATGAACTATGAATGTTAAGGCTTTGAGAATGAAGCGTATGTGATTGTTGAATTGTAGATAGAGTTGTTGTGGAAGGATTTACCTACTTGACCTATATTATGTATGTATGAATGAATAATGTGAAAGGTTTAATCACATAGAATGATTTCTAGGTTGAAAGGCTTGCTCACCTAAAATGAATCTAGACTAAATGCTAAATGAATGATGAGGCTAGAGGCGACTACCCTTGACCTCCATATGTAAACGATATGAGGTGATTTCCTATATTCCTTAGAATTGAACAAGAGGTGACTTCCCACGCTCTTATAATGATGAATGGGCATGAAGGTGAGTACCTGTGACCCTTATGAAATGATGTGGATGTGAATCCTCATATCTTTAAAGCTTGAATTGGTAAGACAAGACCATGCATGGTAGCTTGAGTAGTATATCTCATGGATAAAATTGGATTGAGAAATCGTACCCTTCCCTGAGTTGCCTGTACTAGCATAATAGAATGCTTGCATGATAGCTTGACTTGGTGAGGCCACACCATTCCATGATAGCTTGGATTGAGCAATAATACCCTTCCTTGAGTAGCTTGGACTTGCATGAGTAAGGTGATTTCAATGATAGCTTGGTCTAGCATAATGAGGTGCATTTCCTTGATAGCCTTGACTTGGTAAATCGTAACCATTCATGAATAATGATGTATCTTGGAACTAGTAGAGGGATACTCTTCCATAAATAGTAAGAATGGCTAAAGAAGGAACAAGTCCCTAATCAAAGTAGCATAATTATGATGAAACGAGATTAGTTCAAGGAAGTATTGTAAGTATGTTTCTACATGAGATTGATTGTATGATGATAGCTTAGCTTGGATTGTTAATTGAGTTGCTTTCCTCTACATGTATGACTAGAGGTGATGACCCAAGTCTTGAGTAAGAATAAGTCGAGGTTACTTGAGAAGTGTTCCTTCATAATGATTTATGTGTATTGAATATGCTTATGACTTATGTTGATGTCTCTTATGCTTATAGCCTATGTCTTATGTTGACTAATGCTTATTTCATGCTTATGTTGATGATTTATGCTAGCCATCATATTTAGTACATTTTTGTACTAACGCATACTCTTGCTTACATTCTTATCAAATGTAGGGTCCGGCGATATTGACTTCCATCCCCGTGGCTAGGTTCATAGTAGAGCAAGGAGTGAAGATTTGGTGAGTCCTCATAGCATTGAGGATTTGATCACCCTTTCTCTTTTATGTTTTTATTTTAATATTAGAACTATTGTATGGGCTGTGTCCCAAAGATATTCATGTTTTAGATGGTTCGAGACAAGTGTAATAGACTTCCGCTCATTTTATAAAAGACTTTGATTG